TAGTACTCATCAAGTAGATGAACAAGGCGGATTTTGGCGCAAACGGTAGTGGGAGAAACGTCAACGGCGCAGGATGAAATCAATATCGGAGAGGTTCAAAGAGCGTGGACCCCCTTGCCCTCGGCCCCCTTGGTACTCCGTATCACCACTCAGGCCCTCTTGCGACTCTTTCCCACCCCTCGGCCCCTTGTCACGTTCCAGTCACGTGATTTCAATTAAAAAAGTTTACAGTTATGAGATTCGAACCCACGACGTCCGAGCGGAAGACATTTTCCTTAGCCTCTACACCAACGTAAGATATTGAAGGTAACTGCAAATGTTGGGTATTTATAGCGTTAGTTTTGTCGGAACCGAAATTGACTCATTCATTATACTTGACAGCATTTTTTTTTTGATTACCGTAGAATGTAATCGTCATTATCATATTGAAGGTAGGAAAATATACTTAGATTTGGGAAATAATTAATATTTCATGTAAAGATGTGTATGTGTGTGTAAGAGCGAGAGACGCGTGTAACGTAATCGATGCAAAGAGTGATGGAGATTGTATCGATATTTACCGGTTGCTACTGCAAGCAGGTGTTGCCAGTTGTACAATAAATCATTGTTTATGGAGTAATGTAGCGTTGCCGGTTTGAAAATTGAGCGTGAACTACTCGACGAAAATTGGAAGCGCGAACATGATATATCTTATAATAATGAATCAGATTTAGGAAAAAATATGACAACTCAACCTGCGATCCGTCATTGTATACGGGGTGTCTCAAAATACATCTTTGAAAACGAACATGACGTCGAAGTGTACAGGGTGCGTCATGTCAGTTTGACAGAAGTCCAGCATTCCAACATACCAAAAGGGCACTACGTCTTGTATCTTTGTCAACCAAGTTAGCATCATCAGGAGAAAGGGGAGATCCAAAAGTGTCGAGAGGTTAAGCGTTGTGGACTCAACGTGAGGGCAATGGGGGTGCGAAGTATTCGACAATGACATTTCAAAATACTTTGTTTTCCGTGCGTTTTCGATCGGTTTTCGTCCGTTTACGATAGTTTTTCGTGCGTTTTCGACCGTTTTTCGTGCGCTTTCGACCATTTTGCATACGTTTTCTATTTTTTGTTGAGGGTATCATAAGGCGGTGCGGTTAGATAAGAGAGAAGAAATGATTTAGAAATTTATAATACATTTTTATTTCAGTAATATATCACAAAGACATTTGTATGAAATATCTATGTTTCGGAGACTGCAATTGTAGTTGGTTTGCTTGCGAATGTGATGCATACAGGGTGAGACACCTTCCTTGTTGTCGAATGTGGGAACCATCCATATTGTATTGTCATAGCCCTCCAAATTCACAACGCGTGTCGGTATATTCAACTCGTGAAATTTCGTACAGGCGGTACGACGTTCTTTTTTACTCAAACTGGAAAATGGTGTGTTTGGCAGCAGTAAAAATTTCAATTCAAATGGCTATTTCTTCAGGATGAAATTTCGGCTCGACGGTGAAGCCTTGAATATCTACAACGGCTATTCTCATGTTTATCATCATGTTTGTCCAACCGGAGGTGGCCAAGTGTTTGATATCTTCGTCGGTGAAGATGAGAAAGCCTCTAACAGTACTAACAATTCCAAGTTCACGAACTGCTTCCAATTCCTTACCACTGTGCTCATTACTAGCAGATTGAAACATGAAAGCACCAGCATTGTTTACGAAAGATACCTTACCGTCCTCTTTGGTCTTCTCAACTTTTCCATTAATGAACAGCAGACTATCGTACAAATCATATTGATTCATGTTGATTTCAATGACATCGTTGTTGCGAAAAAACTTGACATAAGGATAGTAGATACGCCACTCTACCTTTTGTATGGACTCATGAATTTGCGGTTTTCGGAAAATGTTGAACACTTGATTGGACAACATGATAACCAAGAGATTCCAGAAACAATTTATTTTCCGTTGTCAATAGTTGTCGACTAGTGAAGGTCTTGGTGAAGACTGACTTGGGGTATGGAGGTGTATAATTTTTATAGATAGTCAGCACCATACTTCCGCTTCAATTCCAAACGAATTATTATTTCTTCGTTTCGGAAGCTAATGTGCCTAGAATGAATCTAGTGCTTCAGACAGAATATTTCACTTTTCAGCATATTATTATTCGGTTTTAGATAGAAAAAATCCTCAGGGTTCTCCTTGAACGTTTTAGGCGTGATGTATTTGTTTATTAATTCTTCGGAGTCACCAAATTCGTAAGATCCAACAGGTATATCGATGCTTTTCTGTTTAGTTTTCATGGTAGTAGAATTTCGTACCTTCTCCATTGTTGGGTATACTGTTGTACGAATGGAAACTGAGCAAAGTCAAAGTGTATTGAGAATCAGAATCTAATTGAATGGGTGGATTGAAATCGATAGAGAGCGTCGAAGAACGACTCGTTAGCGTTAATATCATAGACATGGCTGATATAATGTCAGTATGACATCTCCTTAAATAATGATTGAAACAACAACAACAACATTTTACATAAAAATCATTTATTTCCACAATAATAACATTCTATTTGCGAACTCACAGGACCATAATACATTGTTTTTTGTAGCGATGGCGCAGCTGATGTAGGTGTTGGTACCTCATGTCGGTAATGGATGAAACATGGTAAACGAATCTGCAAAGCAAATCGATGTTCGTAGTCTTTTGGTATGCCAAACATCCAATAATTCCCAAGGTTCAGCATTCTCAATCAAATAGTCGATCGATTAAGTTTTCAATTCAGCATCGGTTAAATCTCGCAAAGATTTATCTCCAACCATTTTTGTAGACATTATGAAGCAGAAACTGTAGGCACAGATGTTCGCAATTACTCTGGTCAAAATTTTGATACTGATCATTGTTATATGTAATCGTTATACCCCTTCCAAAATATCTGACCAATTCCATTGGAGGTTTGAGATTACCGAAACTATCAGAATATTGTACGGCATTGCCGTTTTTAATGTAAGCTACCCAATGAGTGCCTGCATTCAATTGAGAATCCAAGTTCAATACAGCACATTCTCGCAGTCGAGGACCGGGAGTTGGCAACGTGTCGCGCATAAAGACTCCACGAAAATGTGGAGTTTTCAGTTGACGGGCACATTTTTGAATTTCCGAATCGTATAATGCTCTATGGGGTAGCTTCGGTAGGAGTTTTTTTGCTTTTTCAAGTAAAGATTTTGCCCTTTGCGTTGTTTTTGTTTTTTTAGGAACAGACCAAATCCTTGAGGTGTTTTGCGTAGGTACAAACCGGAACCTAAATGTTCCATAGCTTCATTGTGACGTTGATCTTCTTCAAGTTTCTTTTTGGCATTTTCAGCATCTAATACGGTTTTTGCGATATAGGTATAAGCGGAAGAATTCACTTCGAATGGTATTATGCTAGGTATCCGTATGTTTTTAGCAGCTCGCAAAACCGGAGCACTAGTAAATGAAAAACTAACCAAATTTCAAGGTGACATCTCCAGAAAGATTACCGAAATAAATTCGAAGGTACAATCTACTATCAAGGAAATCAAAAAGATACAAAATGAAGTTCAAGCATAACCATAATAAAAGAGCGGGGTTCACACATCTTCACCATCAGTCGTCATGACTTCCAAAGACAAGATTCAACTTGTCAACGAACTACATAAACCAATTAGAAAAAATTATCCTCGACGCCGTACAGTTATCAAAGGAATAGATGACTTATGGCATATGGACTTGGCTGAGATGAGATCGTTCGCTCACCAAAATCGAAATATCAAAATGATTCTAGTCGTCATAGATTGATTTTCGAAATTTGTGTGGACTCGACCACTGAAATCAAAAACGGGAGAGGAAATTACGAAAACGTTTGCAGATATCTTGACACATACGAAACAATGTCCAAAGATAAAAAAATGTACGTAAAATGGCTGGGTTTGGATAACAAACACAAAAGTTGGATCGAGAATGTCGATTTTGTATAGAATCTTATGGAAAACAAGCACACTGACAATGTATTGGGAGGGCCTTTTGTGAAGAAATATTTGTGTGTTCAACAAACACACAATATCTGAAACGGACCACGTGATCTGAAGCTATAAGAGCGCATGCAAACACAGATGGGTATTCAGTTTGGAAATGTCTCTCGATAGTGGTTACGGTAGTGAAGTTGAAGAAATATTCGACAGTGGTGGTGAAGATTACAATGGAACTCTAAATGCAATAGACAGAGCATTGGAGTAATACAAAATGGCTGCTCGAAACGAACATCAATTGCTGTTGATGGCATTCCCCATGCCATCTTATGAAATTCGATGTGGCCTAAGTCCATACAGAGACTTCAGCCCATGCATAATTTTGAAGCAGCAGTTCTCCATTCGTTCCATCAATTTAACAAGTTAAATGCAACAAATGAAGGAAAATTTATTCGAATCACAAATCGATGAAGATGTAGACGAATATGATCCAATTACAACACGTTGCGGGAATTACATTTACGTCACACAGTACATCGAAAGTAATACCAAATAAGTTTCCATTTCCAAGGACACCACGAACATGGAGCTGTTTCAACGAGATGAAAACGAGATCCTGAATACTCACCTTAGTGTGCTCTCTGACCGTATCGCTATGCTGGATGCTTTGAACTTTTGTGATTATTATCGAGGTGTTTTCAATATAATAAAATCATGGTTACGTGAGAATAAAACTAATTTAACTTTGGAAGAAATCATAGAAGGTTTTTGTCAAGCTTCAGCTCTAGATAGTCTGTATGCTAATGCTTTACGTGAATATTTATTTTATTATAAACAAAAAATAGTGTATGATTTATGTAATAAATGAGGAAATGTTGTAACATTTGTTTCATTCAATGTATAAAGTGAAGAAAAATCAGCTTTAAAAAGTTACTTGATTGAATAAAACACCAAAATTTCAATATATATTTTATTCAAATTTTATCAACGTGTGTGCACAACAATAAATTAGCATACAAAATTTCAATATATTTCATTCGAATTATATCAACGTGTACATGTACAATAATAAATACAAAAACTGAAATACTCAAACATATTTCTGTCTGCAGTCAATTCTTGAAAAGTTGGTGGTCTCCTACCGCTGTTGAAAATTCTCAGAGTAACACACACCTATCAGTTCATATTCAAACAAAGACAGAATATATCAATTAACCACATCAACAGAAATAAAATTCAAATGATAACCCCATTTCAAGTTATAGTCCCCCAAGGTAAAGTGTCAGATGATTTGGGGATTAATTTTCGTTTATCGTCGTGTGGACTCAAGCCTATTTTCATCTGCTTGATACTGAAAACGTTGTGAGCGTATGATCGAATAGTAAACTGCTCACAAATTTTTTCTTTAGAATTTATGAGACAATCGATATAATCTTTGAAATCAATTCTATTTTTGACTACATTATATCGAATTCCCTTTGATTTTTTGATAACTTTTCCACCCTGCACTTTGTAGGTGTACATTTTGGAACGCAACCCTGCAAAGTGCGTGATGATTTTACCATTTGCTTCATCTTTCATTAACCCAGGAATTTTTTTATTCACAAGTGGAATTTGAAACTTATTATCGGACGAATATTCGAAAGTATCGAATTTTGATAGGTTATTTTTGATGAGTTTTTGATAGACATCTTCACACATTATTTCGTAGATGAAGCTATCTGTATCTGTATCTGTATACATCAACTTGCAATTTTCTATACCTACAGTGGGCACCATGAAATCGTAATGGAAATCAAACATGCATGTTTTTGAAATATCTAAAATTGCCATTCCGATGTACAGAGGTTTATTGAAAACAAATTCAGTCTTTTTCAATTCAATAACCACCAAGTCTGTATCGAAAACGGTTCGACTCTGAAATCGAGGGCTCGCAATTGAATTTTTGGCGCCATAAGGACCGTTCCAGGAATTCATAAGTTTGACCACCCTGTGTAACCGAATGTTTTCCATCGTGTTTCCAAAAACAGCATTAATCATTAGTTTTTGCCAAAAGAACTGGTGGCTGCAGCCCTTAGACGAGTATTCAACTCGATATAGGGACGCAGCCATGCAGATTGTTTGAATTTCTCAACCCGATGAATTTTGGTTAGAATCAAATCGTTTTTCAATGCTTGTTTCAAGTTGCGATAATGCAAAATATATTTATTTTTATTATACAGGGTACCCATTAATTTTTTTGTTTGGAATTTGGTGGTGCCTGATGCTCTGGACAAAACCGAAAAGCTTTATACGAATCATGTAATCTCTCAGGGTATTCCAAATCAACTTCCAATATGTAGCCTTCTGAAGAATTGTCAGGAATTTCAGTTACATCTTTGTCAAAATTTTCCACCCAGTGAAAAACGTCGTGAGGTAAAAATTCTGACATTGCCAATCCATATAAATTATTGACGTCTGAATATAAAAGATATTTCGGAGGTTTTTCGAGATTGTATGCTTCCATATATTTATTATTTGCTTCAGAATATCTATTTGAACAAACCGATATTCCGCCCCTTATCCCCTTTTCTACAAACATAATCATGTCAATGTCTTTTAGAATCTGTAATTTACACTTCGTATACTTCAACATGGCATCCCACGTGTAACCAGGCATAGTATAATACCATGCGGGGTCCAACCTTTAATTTGCCATGCTTCTTTGACGGAAATTCTCAAAAACGTCTGCCGGTAATGAAATATCTGTTGTCAAATATAGGTCCGCATACGATCCCAAATTTGTAATTTCGAATGATACCCAAACATTTTGTGCGTGAGTATATTTCTCTTCTGTTATGTATTCATCATTCAATTTATTATAGAATTCTTCTCGTGATGATAACTCGGTGATGTTCAATTTTTCCATGCTATCTATATATTCATACGGAAATACTCCCTTCCTGGTGAGAAGAGCAAATTTCTCCTCATCTAAATGATTAAATTCATTTTTTTAATTTCCAAATTTGATCCAATGTGGATACTAATTCATCCAACGATGTTCCCATGAATCGAAAAGAATCTATAAATCGAAATTTAAGTTTAGTTTCAGCATCCTTCTGTGTAAAGAAAATGTATTTTTCTTCATTTGAGGGAAGTATGCTCACACAACCTTTTTTTGCGATATCTCTGATAATGAAGTGACTGTCGTATCCTGAAAGATTATGAAAAGTAATGGTTACCACGAATAATTTTCGAAAGTTGACATTACAGGGGGCTTGGTGGGCAAAACCGCGGAACGCCCATGTATAGTGATCGTGATCGTACACGATAACATCTTTGGGGGCGAAGGGTTTTTCGCAAATATGACAAGTCATTGCAGCACCGATATTATTCAAAGGCACTGTCATCGGCTCAATATTCCTAATTTTAGATTCAACAAATTCTGCAATATCAGACAACTCATCGGCAAACCATTTCATACAGTCTTCACCTCGAAAGCTTTTGAAATGAGAGAGACTGTCGTCATAGGAACACTTGAAGTAGTAGCCTGCACTGAAAGGTATATGTTTTTGGTATTTTGTAGTTTTGTTAGATATGCTTTCATTACATTTCCCAACAGTGACTCGAAATCAGCAAAAATTATAAACGGACATTTTTGTTTATGAACATAATTTCGAAATTCCACATAACCGGATATAGGAAAGAAAATTTTACAATCATTCACTTTTTCGCACAAAACAGTATGATCATTTAATTTTTGCTGACTTGAAAAATAATTAAGGTATCTATCACAAAAGATTTTTTTCTTGCAATTTTTGTCCAGTTGTCTACTTAATAATCGAGACATGTCTTTGATCCAACAATAATGGAATTTAATTTCAGTCTCGTCATCGTCATTAATGGTTGGAGCCTCATAATCATTCAGTTTTGGAAAATATTTGTCTTGAATTAATAACAGATTAACATGTCTGCCTCGTTTTGTTGTCGTGAGTCTGGCAGGTACCACTACAAAAAATGATTTTTCTTCTGCTTGATTTAATTCCAAAGTGTAAACATTCACAGAAATATCATTAAGTTTCTCAAATTTGGAAATTTGATGTAAATCCATTGGAGTATTCAGCCATGTAGTATTCAAAACTGTAGAATAGTGTGGATATTTTGACACTCTTTGTGGATGTTTCGCTACAGGATACAAGGCGCTAATAATACTCCAATAGAAGCACATTTCGTCATCGTTTCGTACATTAATGCATGCCTGCTTTCTTGCGATTTCTTGCGGCAGTGGAATGAAAGAAGAACCGTTACCAATCACATATTTATTAATTGCTACTTTCAACAAAAGAATTTTACTCAAAGCCCACCTCGACTGTTGCTCTTCGAATTCGACTAATTCATTCAATGTAACATCCACAGCGTTTTCATTGTACCAAGCAGCCAAGTCAGTGCTTGAATCGATAACTTTATTTGGCGTACTGAAATATTTGCGATCAACAATTTCCCCATCATTTGATTCTTTAATAAAATCCCCTGATAAAGTAAAATTAACTTTGAGGCATGACATTTGTTTCAAAATTTTGGAAATCTCACGTTTGAATAATGGAAAAACATCGTCTAGAAACTTTTTAGGATCTTTATGAGTTAAATTGATGATTACTTTCGTTGTTACTATACTATTGAAAACATTGTTAATATTCAGCCACTTCACCGTAGTGCTTCGTCGTTTCAAACCCGAGCCTATACGTTCATTATTCATCATTTTTATAATCACTTCGAAGCGTTTCAATTTCCCAATTTGTGTAATTATTTTCTTTTTTTCCCCAACCGACAATTTAATTTTTTTCATAGCTAAACCGCATTTCTTTATATGTTTATTAATAAATTGTAAAGCTTGTTTGACAACATGATCCGAATAATTATCATTGATTTGTAAAATGTATTTATCAATTACCGACTTGATTTTTGGAAAATCGACCATTTGGATTTTATTTATTGACATGACTCACCGATATTTTGTTCACGAATGAAATTCTAGGTGTTATGAGTCGGTTTTGGAAGCTGCAGAGAATTGAATTTCGTTCTGTGGACACTGTTGGGATGGTTGTGGAAGCTGCTGTAATTTGAAACTCGTCCTGGAAAGGTTGCAAAGTTGGATTTGGATGTAGTTGTTGAGATGACTGAACTGATACTGCACACGTTGATGTAGTGTTCTGAAATAAATTTGATTTTCAATGCAAATATACACCAGAGAAAAATAAAATTCAAGATTGGGGGTAATGTGTTTCATGGAGTGATTGTGAAAAATGAGCGAGCTACAGTTAAAATTAAAAAAATCAACTGTCATTCGAAACAACGAATTTAAAACACATATTTTGCAAGTACTAAACATATAAAAAATATTGAAAACACTTCTTTATGCGGATCATATCTATGAATGAAAAACTTTTTGAGTCGAACAAAAAATATAGTATACAACCACAAACTCTATACATATATTGAACAAAGAAAAAATGCAGTACTAACCTTTATTTCGTACAATTTCAAATGAAACAACACGCCAGCGTATTTTCCTGATACAAATTTCTTCTAAATGGGGGTGATACCTCTCCGTCACTCGGTGTGGTAACAAATTGTTGTTGTTGTTAATTGGTTCCCTCTTCACGACTGAATTTGAAGTTCAGGAAATCCACCTGCGAGAAACCAAAAATAAAAAAACAATGTTTCAAATTATACGAACACTATCTCAATAAACGACAACATGAATGAAAGTTATTCGTAACTCATTATGCGTTTTATTCAACTAGAAAGCTGGTTACAAAATGAGCTTCTGTTTACTACATAATAAATGTGTATATAGACAAGATATGGCATTGTCAAAGGCAACTGGATAAAATAAGAGAAAATTTCTTATTCAGCTTGGATGATTCTAACATCAAAACGAATTGTACGATACAATAATTACTGTAAGAGATTAGCGGTTCTTATCTTTTATTCATTATTGAAGATTGAGAAATATCAGTAATTGTTATTTCTTATCTTCTGATGTATGTAGGATAAAAATAGTTGTCCAGGGTTGTCTTGAGGAATACGTAAATAACTCTGAACCGTTTTGTATTACAAAATAATTGAAAAAAACGTTAATCCTCAAAAACTATGTATAGAAAAACACTCAAGTATATTGTTCTGAGAAAAACTTTGAAAAATTAATGATAATTCAACAACAACTCTCACGACCTTTGAATCAAATTACATTTGAATGAATTCTTTTGTGGAAGAGTCAAAAACGAATGAAAAATCTTGCAATGAAAATCCATAAAGTGAACATGAAAAACACTTACTTTCAGATAAAATCGTTGCACTTGTCACTAGTATCACTGATACAACTAACTCATCATTTCGCCCCGCAGGAGGTATTTATAGGAATATAAGTGATGACATATTTCAAAATCGAACGAAGAGCCTTTGTTCCGTCGCTTTGAGAACTGCAAATCTCTGTGTGCTGATTCAGCATTCACAGTGATCAATGCCACCTTGGATAAGAATAGGAAAATAGGTGATGACATATTATGCAATCAAACAAAGGGCCTTTGTTTCGTCACTTTGAGCCACGTGTCTGGCTTTATCGATAAGTGATAGTGATAATGCTGCATACCTATATTATATGTTTCTATCAACTTGGAATGAAACAACATTTACTCAATAAAAATAATAATTTTTTTTATTCAATTTCATAATTGTTGTACAACTCTAATCAAAAATTTTTCTCTAGCCTTGTTGCGTTTTCTGGAACAAATTCAACAGTGTTTTTTTTAAATGACGAAGATCTTGAAATATCTTTTTCAATTCACATTTGAATGGTGTATTCTTTGGTATTGCGCCTGCGCAAATACCCTCATCGACTGATGTCGAACTAATCGATTTCCATTGTTTACACTAGCCTTCACGCAAATTTCCTTAGAATTTCACCCACATTCGGTACGTTTACATATTGAACAGAAATTATATTCTACATATACATATTCTACACTCTGAGGCTGGACCACTTTGTCTTGAATGTGTAAATCATACAACTGCTTGAGAACCATTTTCTTCTTCTCATATAATTGAATATCATTACTCATCTGTTGGACACGTCTCTCAAATTCCTCTACTTTACGTCTGTATTCTCTGAATGTCATTTTATTACTGATTTTTGTTTACCAACGACGTACGGAACATCGTTTTCCTTCGAAACTATGCAAAACAACGTATATTGAAATGTCATTGTCGAATACTTCGCTCCCCCATCATCCATAGATATTCTAATAAGTCCGCTCACTCTCAGCAGCGACCCAAATCATCACCCTCCGTCCTCGCGCGTCCCTTGCCTGGCCGGTCGGTCGTCAGTGCCCGTCTGACGGGGGAGCCAGTTTAACAGAGTGTCTCCGATTGAACAGTTCGCATCGTTCCGGCCAGTTATACTTAGTGCGTAAAATAAACATTTTATTGGAACTTTTATTCTTGTAGTTATTTGAACATTTTTTATTGTTGTGACGACTTCTCACCGTACCTTTTGCAGTGTGGATTCTTGTGATAGTTTACGTGAAAATATTTTATTTTTTCGATTCCCCAAAGATGCCACAAGGTAATAAATTCATCAAATACATAATGTCAGTTATAGGTCAAAAATGTTTCGGTAGTAATGTGATTTAGATACTATTTATAACTAATGTTCAAACTATATTTCGCAGGTGTCAGCAGTGGAAAAAAGCATTTGGTTTTGTTGGAGACCACAAATATGCTAACTTAACACCTGAGCAAGCCTACATTAGAATACGAGTTTGTAAAAAACATTTTGACGATGAATCCTTCACTTCCTCTGGAAAACATTTACTTACCACTGCTGTGCCCTTAAAGTTTCCAACAAAATTGGACGGTAAGAAATTTTCCACTTCACAAGCATGGAATATTTTTTTGAATGAGTTATTTTCAGGTAATGATCAAAACAATGACAATCCAGGTCCCTCCAGCGTATTAGCTCCTTCAAAATTAGATGCGTGTACACAAACAGATACATGTCAATATGATCAACACTTGACGCCTGACCCTCGTAGACACACTTTCGAGTAAACATATTGTTCGCGCTGCTGACTGACCCTCGTATAACGTATTTCTGCTGGTAGCCGCATGATTTACGACCGCTCGCAAAAAAAGCGGCATATTTTACCCACATCAAAGGAGTTACCAGACTTATTAGAATATCTAAGGACGATGGCTCCCCCATTGCCCGCACGTTGAGTCCACAACGCTTAACCTCTCGATACTTTTGGATCTCCTCTTTTTCCTGATGATGCTAACTTGGTTAACAAAGATACGAGACGTAGTGCCCTTTTGGCATGTTGGAATGTTAGACTTCTGTTGAACCGACATGTTTTTTCTTAAATATATTTCGACGCACCCTGTACCCTTCGACGTCATGTTTCTTTTCAATGATGTATTATGGGACACCCCGTATACAATGACGGATCGCAGGTTAAGTTCTCATATTATAAAATATATCATTTTCGCGCTTCCAATTTTCGTCGAGTATTTCACGCTTAATTTTCAAACCGGCAACGCTACATTACTACATAAACATTGATTCATTGTACAACTGGCAACACCTGCTTGCACTAGCAACCGGTAAATCTCGATACCATCTCCATCTCTCTTTGCATCGATTACGTCACACGTGTCTCTTGCTGTTAGATACACATACACATCTTTACATGAAATATTAATTATTTCCCAAATCTAAGTATATTTTCCTATCTTCAATATGATAATGACGATTACATTCTACGAAAATAAAAAAAATGCTGTCAAGTATAATGAATGAGTCAATTTCGGTCCCGACAAAACTAACGCAAAAATAAAAATGCTGTCAAGTATAATGAATGAGTCAATTTCGGTCCCGACAAAACTAACGCTATAAATACCCAACATTCGCAGTTAACTTCAATATCTTAAGATGGTGTAGAGACTAAGGACAATGTCTACTGCGCGGACAATCCAGGTTCGAATCTTATAACTATGAACTTTTTTAATTAAAATCACGTGACAAGGAGGTCTGAGCGCTGATGCGGAATCCCAAGGGGGCCGAGGGGTGAGGAAGAGTCGCAAGAGGGCCTGAGCGGTGATGTGGAGTACTGAGGAGGCCGAGTTCCATGTTTGAATCGCTACGATACTCGTTCCATCCTGCATCGATGACGTCACACGTTTTCCCCACTCCTGTTTGAACCAAAAATTGCAGAAAGTTCAGCTCCATAAGAAAATACATGAGATTTTGGGCTCGTACATACGTTGTTCATCTTCTTAGGAGTCGAAAAGGAAAACTCTCCACATCCGACGATGATTCTGAAACAGAATCGAACGGCCATGAAGATGAGAAAAACAGGACGAATTTCATAGCCTGGAAGACGTGAGACATCTTAGGAAGAAGCCTCGAAGATGGTTGGGCAATTATCTTCCTATTCCGAAAAGAGATGTTGAAATCATGAAGAAATTCCGATCATTCCGTCATACCATTAGGATAAGTAAAATGAGTATTTTTGTTTCAGTGAATGAAAGTTCATGTGAGTTCAATGAAAATAAACGTGATTTTATAAAAACTGTCGTACTTTGCTCTAATTTGAAAATGCTTTCCTATGTTCAACTT